AAAAAACTTCTTCTGAAAGAGAGAGTCCACACTGCCACAGCCCATCGAAAAAGCGATCTGCTTTTTCAAACGATAGCGTCCACACTGAATGGATGCTATCTCGCATTTAAGCTGTGATTACTATAGATGGAGTGCCCACCAAGGCACCTGTGCTTTTTCCTCTTTTCTCTTCTTTCGAAAGAACTCTCTTTTTCCTGTCCACACACACCTTTTTCCAAAAGAGCTCTTTCAGAAAAAGGCTTCTTCCTCATAGAAAGAAGTTTACCAATGTCGGAAAAACCCCTCTGTTCTTTCAATTTTTTTTGAAAGAACTTTATTGCAGTATAGACGTAAGTGGAGTTTTTTTCGGAAAAACAACCATTTTTCTGGAAAAAAAAGCCTCTAGTGTAGATATAGCCTAAATGATTTCCCAGGAATTAAAATGATCCAGGGAAGTGCTTAGATTTCAACATTTAAAATCTTGATACAAATAAATACTGTTTAACAGGAGTGTAGTTTGCTTGTCCTTTTGTGTTCATTTTCCAAACACAAATGACCAAATTCCACTGCTGGTGTATTTCCACTGACTCTTAAAGTTTGACTGTATCACTCTGGTTGTATGATTCCAGTGGGATTTGAGGTCTTATCATCTACTCAAGTAATAAAAATCCTATTACAGTCAATAAAACTGTACAAATGAGTGTGTTCCATGTAAATTAGTTCAGAAGTTATTAAGGAATATTATAATACAATATGGCATTAGTAATAACTGCAACTAATCACACAGAAAGGTTTGGGGTAGTCAGAACGCAACAAAATGCTTTTTGCTGGTGGTAGATTTTTCAAAAACCATACTTATCTTAGAACTGCAGCTGTGTGGGTATAAAGTAGTATGACTAATACATCTGCTGAAAATATTTAAGATGAAGTTTGATGAAAATATTTCATATACATTTTTATCAGTGTTGAATTTTTAAAATTTGTTAATGTCTGCTCATTTAGACTGTGATTGTTATACAACCCAATTGAGGTAGGCCCCCAAATCATTTACATTAATGTGAGTTGGTAAGATGACTCCTTTAAGCACCTTTTAAATTTCAGCTCAAGGCTTAATGTTTAGTGTTTATTATCAAGGGTTATAGTAATTGTAAGAATAGTGTATGTAAGGATTTTGCCCTCTAGTGGCTCTGCTAGCATCTTACAGCCCTTTTGTATCTCATCACAGGTTGGGAGTTTCCAAGTTTAAGTGACAAAGGTGTATATTGCTGGAGTCGAAGGACCAGGATTTTACACTTACTTCTGTGGCTATACATAGATTATCTAGTAGTTGTGTGTTCTTCTGTAATAATGGATTTATTATAGGATGGCACCCAATTATTTGTTTTTCCGCTAAGTATAATATGAAGAATATCAGTCAAGTTATTATTGAGTTACATTAATTTTTACTGTGAATATGGAACTTCATAGTAACAGCTCTCTAGTTAAGATTACAATTAGGGTTCCATTATGAACCCTATTTTTTCATCCCTTGTAATGTGGCATAGAAAAATACTTTCATCTAAAATGCACTTGAACATTTACATTCAAATATATGTATATCAAAAATATTGGTTTATACTAAAAATATTAAAATAATTGAAATGGGAAGGAAATAATCAAACACTCCATACAGCCTCTTGAATAAATGTACCTTTGTAAAATGTCACATCTAATAATCAAAGAAACAACCTTAACTCTGTTGCTGTATATCAAGCTGCCATCCATCTAACAGGATTATGCTTAATACCATAACATCTACAATACTAGTCATTTTATTATTCTTTGTTCTAGATTCTTTCGCTGCCCGCCCCCTACATCCTCTTTGATGCACTGGCAGTGGAAACAGACAGATAGTTCATTCAGTCAATGGGGTTTCTCCTTGAGAAACAAATCCCTAGGTGGTATAAATCTGCACCATATTCCAATCCCCTTTGGCATTGGAGACTAAAGGAGGTATGGCTAGAAAGCATAATGGTCCAGGAATGGAGTAATGTATTGAACAGTGTAACATGGCTTTGGGGGTTCACCAGGCCTCAAATTACCTTCAGATGATCCCAGCATTAGAAGACAAAGAAGGAGAAAAGCCATACCCATTTCTCAGGTATACATTGACACTGGCCCATGGATTACAAAAGGACCTACTCTATCTCTCCTTCTCTATGTAAGTAAGTATTGTGCAAGCCCTGGTGAAGGAAAGGAAATTCATTTTTAATAGCATAACCCTGAAGGTCTCAGAATAAAATGGGTTCAAAAAATCTATGGGCAATAGATGGATGGGTATAGTGAACAAAATTCTCATTCCATTGAGGAGTACCGGTAGTTCGAATTAGGATCTCTAATTCGAACTACCTACTCCGTGCAGCGTGAGCCGCGGGCACGGAGTTCGGACTAAGGGGGATTTAAAAATGGCGGCGCCCGGAAACATGCAAATGCAGCCCGGGATATTTAAATCCCGGGCTTCATTTGCAACTCCAGTTGCCCTAATTACCCTACCTAGCTCGAACTAACGAGCTAGTGTAGACATAACCAGAATGTATATAGTATAGAATGGGCACGTATAAGAGGGTTTCTGATCTAAAAGATGTGATTGAGCAGTGCTATAGGGGCAGAATTAAGGTTGTTTTGGAATATGTAATCTGGTATTTTACATATGAACATTGAAGATAGCACACAAACTGTAAGAATATTTATATACTTATCTTTCTTCCCTCAGTCCATACTTTTTTTAATTTTAATTCTTTTAAATACCTAATTTCAAAACTGTAATTTTTTTTATATACATACATTACCGCCTACATGTTAAGTGACACTCTTAATATAAATAAAAAGCTAGTAGAGGCTTCCTGCAGTGTGGACAGCACCAAAAGCCAAGTTAAGCTACTTTGACTTCAGCTATGCAACTAATGCAGCTAAAGTTATGTATCTTAGTTCAACTTTATCCCATACTGTAGACATACTCTTAATGAAGTAAAGGTGCTCAGCTCCCTGAAGCTTCCTACTATGAGCACTTTTCAAAATCTAGCACCAATAGTGAGAACTGAGTAGTTCTGAAAATCTGGACCTAAGAGACGTGCCCAAAATCACATGAAAAGCCAATGCAAAGAGCTGGGATTAGAACCCGTAACTCCAGAATTCCAGTTCTCTAGACTACATTTTCTAGGTTATACCTAAGAATATGATATTTCCCACTGCAAAATTCCATTTTACTTTCTAACACCTAAATAAAATCACTTGCAATATGTGTATATAAACCCCTATATTTGAAAAGCATTATGAAGGTTTGATGCTACAACAGTGATTTGGAGCTGTAAATCTAAAATATTTGTATTTTGAAAACAGGAGTGAAAGTGTGATTGTATTGTCAGACATATGAATTGCATTGCTCCACATCTTAAAAGAACATTCTTGCATATGCAAAATCAGATTATTTTTAAATCAAACATTGTTATGCATGCCAAATCTGAAATTTGAAACTGTTTCAAATATTAATACAAAATGCTTTATAATACTGTACTAG